CCTTTGAGTCTCAATTAGCCTCGTAAGATTTCAAAACCGAATATGAATAACTTGATTCATAATAATAGCAAATATATGCTGGCCTTATAGAAGCAGTGACACAAAACATGTGATTTGGGAGTAGCGGGATTTGGCAAAATGGTAACTTTAAGCACAGTCCAGTTTGACTCCCGTTGGAGGTGGAAATAATAAGGTTAAACTTTACTCATATTTGAGTAATTATAGCTATTGGAAGATAATTTTAAATGAAATAACATAGAGCTGAAAAAATTTTTTTACTTCACTTCCTACGCTTTTATTTATGAATATTTGTTAATACTTTCAAAATACACTCAAACCTAATGCGTTTGGGGAAAAAGACTCCATTAAACTTCACTTATCCTTGAAGTTTAAAAGGTTTCCTCATCCGATAAAAATACTATTTTAATCACCTCATCAGACCTTGCAAAAGGATCAATCGTTATTTCTTCTTTTAATATGATATAAACGGTGTTAAAGGTCATCTCTTCCTTGTGGTCAGCAGGCATTTTTTCTGTTGCATAGTCCTGACTTTGTTGTCTGATAAGCCTAAATCGGTTTTAATTCCCGTTCAAGGAGAGATAAGGCCTAATCCAGAGCTAAACTGTAGGTCACATTCTATTCGAAAGAATATTGAAGGTGAAAGTCAATCGCTTTTTCACCACATTATGGGAAATCCAACTACTAGTCCTGAGTTGCCTTACGATCTTATCAAGTGAAATTACCAATGTGGAAGTATAAAAGTATGGCAATAAAGGAGAAAAAGAGACCAATTTTAACAATAGTAACATCTCGTTGAAATCAAAATTATGCGATAAAATTCCACATCTTGTCGGATTATCTTTCGTGTTAAAGTAGGCTTTTGAGAATACCAGTAAGTAAGCTACAGGAGATGTTTTAACTATTTCGTATAAGAAGCTTCACCAAATGCCAATCCTTCATTACCTTAAAAGAAATAGGATAAAAACAGTTCGTATTTCCTATCTGTAAAAACTTCCAGAGCATAAGCAGAATAATAAAGTTTATCACGAATAGCTTACAAAAGTTTACCACTTATTGAGATTATTTTTATAAATAAGCCTTACTTAATTTTAGTAACTGGGTGTCTACTTCTAAGCAAAAGCCCTTTATCGTTATTTATTTTGAGTGACAAAGCTCTTCAAATAACACAAAAGTGCTTTATAAAGTTATGTAAATGGATCTTATACACAATAATTAGGCTATACTTATTTATCTCCTCTGATATTAAGTACCTATGCATGATCAAAAGTATGGATGAGAGTTAAAGTTATGATCCTCTATTTAATTATGTTGAGGTAGACCATAATCTGGTGCAGCAATAACGAGTTTATCAATACATCTTAATCCTTATTTAGTATTGATGGCAAAAGATATTGGCTCCACTGCAAAGCATTAACTAAAGCATTTATATTAGATTATTAATTGTCTAATTAGTATGTATTATTTACCTTCCAAAATGTATGTAAATAAAGAGGCATTAAAGTGAATTTTTTTCTAGTTTCTCTTTATATTTTGTCAGTTTCACCTAGAACCCGAAATCGCGTTTGAACAATGCACTTTTATAAAAAGATTTATCTATGAAATATCGTTTGTGTAGTTCTAACATGCATACACTTACTTTCGGATTCTTGTGAATTTGTCTTTGATTTTGAGAAGTTGACAACTTTTTTGTATTTTGAAATAGGTTTACAACCTTCGCATTCAATTTTGGCCATATATACACTATTTTTAGCATCGGAGGATTGTGAATCACAAAGAGGGGCTGTTGTAAACATAGTGGACCCGTCCGGCTTTGAGATGCGCGTGACTACGACACAACGCTTCTGTTCACATATTTTCGATGGTGTGAGCTTGAACGATACACTGGTCTCAATTTGAGTAACATTTGAGCGTTGATTTTTCGGTACTTTCCTTTTGATTATTGCTTCATTAAAAATTCCTGGGACATGTGAAGCATTTGTTTCCAAATCAGAAGATATCGGGTCTAAGAAGGCTTCTTTTTTCTCATATCTTCCAGTATCATTATCTGATCTCAAGGTTAAAGGTGAGACATGTGCTTTTCGTAGTCCTCCAACGAAACCAAAACGACTACTAATCTTGCCGTCCCTATATGGCTCTCTGATGCAATTTATCCTCTCTTCCGTCTCCATCCGAGGAGACCTATTGCTAGCACATGTTGTTATGACATCTAGGATGGTGGAATGCGAATTTAAGTGATTGATGAGGGACGCTTTACACCCTATCTCCTGTAGGTTGCATTTATCAGTTTGACCTTTTTCCCGCTCCTGTGGCAACGTGTGAGACAGATGAGAAGTCAAGAAACAAGAGTACTGAGACGCCGAATGGACTAGATTTATAGGTTCTGCTTTACTCAACTGACAGATGGCCTCATCATCTTTTGGCATAGTGACTGGCAGTTTGATGGAAGAATTGATCGCTCGATATTTAGAGCTCTTAGATGAGGCGGTCGAGCTTGCTCCATCGAGTATAGAATCACTCGTAGCAATGATATTTATTCTCTTTATGGGTATGTCGCATTTAATGGCATCCATACTAAGGGCTGTATCTTTAAGGATGCCTTGTGTGTCAACACAATCAACTTTGGAAAAATTGTTACTTTTCTCTTCCGGACTATTGTTGTCAGTAAGCTTGCTACGCATGGGTTGTCGAAAATCTGTGATAAAGGAGTTGGATATATTTATAGTATTGTCAATTTTTAGCTGCTGCCAAGGCATTTGTTGCCGAGCTATAATTTTAGTCGGCTGGTCTTCTTGTGAACAGTCTAGCTTTGGGTGTAAGTGAACAAAATCTCGTGATTGTCGATGTTGGATGGAAGGAGAAACATGAGAAGATTTGCTTAAAAGGGGCTGACATTTTTGTTCCAACCTTTTTGCTTGTTTGAGGCCAGAGCCATAACAACGGGGAATGGCATCATCTGCCTTCTCTGAAAAAATTCTTATAACAGATTTAACGCGATTGATGCTAAACTCTTTGTTCTCTTGCTTAATATCCTTTTTTTCTTGAGCTCTCTCTTCATAACAACCATTCTCAGCTTTGTTTCCGGACAAGACTAAGTCTAAACGATTTTCCGCGGCATTTTTATCATAATCATGTTGAATAGTTGGGCTTTGGAAGTGAATATTCTTTGGGGTAATTCGTTTTTCTGGCGATTTCCCAATTAGATTTACACCAGAATGCATGTTATTGGCAAAATAGCTATGACTTTGTGGTTTGGCATCAGCATGCTTCATTGTATTTACTGTCTGAGCATTAGTTTGAGAAAGTCTTTCCTCAACAATATAAGATTTTCTCGATATAGCATATGGAGCTCTTAACTTTGATTGAGACTTTCTATCTACAGCCTCGCCATCTGTTGGGTATCCATCTGTAAGATGTGATTTGCTTTTAGCACTTGAATTGCGCAAAGAAGACGCAGTAGTGGTAAGTGGATAGATTGATTCGAAAAAGTGGAGCGAAGGCATCACATTTTTTTCTTGGCTTGCTGGTTGCTTTTCAAAACAGGAGTCCATTTGTCTGGCTAGAATTTGCAGGATACAGTATCTGATCTTTAAGGTAAATTTGAAAAAAAAACAACTCTGATAATGAAAGAAGATAAAACAAAATGAGATTGCTTTTAAATCTTTTAAAAACATTTATCTCAAAAAACACATCTGTTGCATGGAAAACATTATTCTAGCAGGAATTGAGTACCAGTTCCAAAGCAGAGAACTTCAAAACCGCAGGAGGGAAGAAAGCTATATATTACTAAAAGGGTTTCCAAAACATATGGTACCAATTAGAATTTATTAAAGATATGTACACTAGATTTTAGTCAGACAAAGGCCCATTAACTTTAGTAAATCTGATAAGATAAGTAGTTAAATTGTTGAATTAAAACGCATTTTAAGTAAAAGTGTAAGATGAAGCGATCATACGCTGATCCCCCAAAAATACGAAGGCGACTTTTTGTTGATCAGGTCGGGCTGAATACTAATGGAACGCTGATTTTAACGTAGTTCTAAAGCAATACTTCTTCGATTACAATGAAAAGGTGGTGAATTGTATCTGTCGAATGGCAGTCAATAAGAATGCTAACATATGAAAGACGAAAGGTGTATTCACTCTGCTACGGTTAAAGTGATAAAAGGACTGATAGTTGAATTGTTCTACCTATTTGCCATAGCAAATACAACCTTACTTCACCGACATTCCTACTACAGGATGTGATATGGGAAGATGCCTGATTTTGCTAGAAATTATAATCTGCCCTAGAACCCAATGTCACTCGTGGCAATTTGACGTAGTTGTTAGCGTGTCGAGATTATACTCTGTACTGTCATAGTTCGAGTCCCGCTAAGGTGTGCGGATGATACCAGTTCAGGCGAGATCGAAACGGCTGACCGCTTAACACGATAAGCTAATGCATTTTAGAAAGCAAGACTATGCAAATTTAGAAGGGAACTTATGGTCTACTCATTTGATTGCGGGAAAATTCAAATATCAGTCCATTTATCACTTTATACGAAATAGTGTGAATACGCCACATATTTATAAACTTCTGATATCCTATAAAATCTATTTATAAATGAAAGATGTATTCACTCTATGCTGTTTAGGATGTTGAAATAAGATGGTACATCTCATTTGACTTGTTCACTGCTAGTCTCGAAACTCAATTTATAAACGGAAAATAAGTAATGTAGTCGATTCTGATAGCAAAATTGCATTTGCCTTAACGATAATCCCACCAAATATTGTGATATGGCATAAGGCCAGGTCTTTCTTGAATTTTACCTCTGTCCTGGGACCCAAAGGCACTCGTGGCAATGTGGTCGAGTGGTTAACGCGTCAAACTCATATGTTACACTTTCACGGTTCGACTCCCGGGAGGAATGTTGCTAAGACTAAGCGAGGTCGAAACTGCAGTCTATCCTGGATGATAACAACTTTTGGGAAAGCGAGGCAATGTGAAATTCAATGGAAACGTCAGCTCTATTCATATGATTGTGGCAAAATTCTACTACTTGTCCTTCTTCACCTTAAACTTAATAGTGTAAATACATTTCGTATAACCGATTTACTTGTAGTTCGAAACTCTATATATATACGAAAAATAACATAAGAAAGCCTAACATATTTTTAATCAACTAGAAGGAAGTCGACTTGAGTACAGCGCCAATAAGAATGGTTTAGCATATCTAACCGCCTTATCGTGGGGACAACTTTAAAATCTCCTAATCACACATATTCACTCTTAATGGGAATTAGTTCAACTAACTTAGACATAATTAAGTTAGTGTGGCAAATAGTAGTAGCACCTTAATTATTCTAATTAGATATATGAGATATATCCTCCCTAATTCGTTCAAAGTGATAAAGGACTGGTATGTGACTTTTCCCACACCGTTATCAGCCGAACACTGTTTTGACGGTTTATCTGAATTTCACATAGCCTTGCTCCATAAAAAGTATTATCATCCAGAATTGACTGCAGCCTCGGCTTTGCCTATGTATCATTACCACCCCAGCAGGACCCGAACCATGACAATGCAGCATATGATCTCAGCACATTACCCACTACGTCACACTGCTATGAGTGCCCTATGGGCAGAAGGTAGATTTTAATTTCTAGGAATCCCATACATTTTTCCTTATCACATTGCCTCAAAGGATTGTTTTTTTTAAAGTTACATTTGCCATAGCAATCGACCTGATTACTTATTTTATTTATTTTATAATTAAGACCAAATTAAGTTTTGTAGGATTGCTATTTATCAAAATTTTTTGTTTTATTACAAGGCTAAGAGATAGATTCAAAAGTATCGTCCGTGCTTAAACGAAACCCTGGTAATTTATTTTTTGAGATTTCATCAATGCTAGTTATTTATTTTACCAACTCGAATGAGTACAATTTTGCAGATTACTTATCAAAAAATGGAAAATTATAAAAGGTCAGATCAATTGCAAATACGATCAGCAATCGCTAAAATAGTCAGGAAACTAGAAGACAATCATCCTCTGTAAATTCTTCAAGATTTCGCTACCAAATAATTCGACCCATTAATGCTAAATATACGCCCACGTCTTCCTAAATCGCTGGTCTTTAAGGCTAAACCTCAAAATTCACGCACTTAAACGGCATTATTCAAGCTGGTACCAGAAAATTAAAACTCAGCTAGAAGCCATAGGAATAATCATGACCATAGGCCAAGTATTGTGTGGTATTTCTAAAGGAGTTAATGTGAAAAGACTCTTTGTCTG